CACTTTTTTTTTTAACCTTACAGCTGAGCTTACTGTACCATAGATTTCTGCTGTTCCTGAATCTTATCACATTTATATTATTTCCTCTGTCATCTACTTGAGTAACTCTGACCTACATTTTTTTCTTTTCTTTGTTCCCAAACAAAACCTAATTTCTTTCTGGGCAAGTCAGAAAAGCAAGACTTCTGTGACCAATATGTTTCCTAACCCTCACATGAGAAAGAGGGCACACCCCATACTATCAAAAACCAGTCCTGTACCAGTCACAGAAACAGATGCTGTAAGCTGCTTCTTATTGTGGGCTCACTCGACACAAAATAAAACAGAACTCCCAAAACAAAGGCTTCTGGTCTCCAAGCTAAAACACAATTCCAACAAAAATGTTACCGTTCTGGAGCTTTGAAACGTCCTAACCAAATCATCTTCCATTCGAAGGGGTTTTTCATTTACTTATTTTAAGCACAAAGATACTAAATTAAGGCCAGGCTAATTCTAGTAGTGTCTCTCAGATGACTTCCAAATCTCAATGGCATCTCCCAGCTCTTCCTGTTCCCTTTTTATGTGGGTCCCTAATTGTGCATGTATCCCAGCTGTACTGACTCTGCTGATGTCAGTGCTATGATGATTATCATCATCTATTAGCACAAGCCATTATCTTCCTCCTCCAAATGTGCCACTTGAGCATTGAAAACAATCAAATATTTCATGTTCTCTGCTTTGGCTATTATTGTTGCAAATCACCCATTCATTATTCCAAAAATGAAGTGACTGTTTCATTTTTTTTTCATTCATTCCCCCTTTTATCAGAAGGGTTGTAATCTAGCCATCCTTATTTAATCTTCACATGAGTTTGGGAAGTGTTGGAAAAAAGAAGAAATAAATGTTGGAGTAGACTTAGCGACGAGAGGCATGAATTAGGCAGATGTGATGTTTTAAGTTGGTTAAGATACAGCATAGTTCAGAGAGCTCCCGAGGCAAAAGTGAAAGAAATCAATTTGGTGATGGGAGGAATTTTGTTCTATTGAAGTACGAGGGAAAGACAGAAGGGAGATGAGAGAAGTGCTTTTTTGGAACCATTTGATTTTGGGCAGAGCAGGAAAATTATCTACTCTTTGCACCTCCCCCACCACCATATGCTTCCTTAAAATTTCCCTTTTCCTTACTTGAAAGGCGCAGAATTTAATAGTATTCATGCATTTGAAATGGTAGGCAAAGTCCAAGCTTCCTCTCTTTTTGAATTTAAAAAAAAAATAGACCCCCCAGAAATCCAAGCTAAATGATAAGCTATAAATCATTATTATTTAATGAAAAATTTAACTAACAGCTTATTTGTTTTTCAAAAGTGGTTGATCTTAAATTGAGGTACAGGATCACAGCCAGATTCAGGGTCTAAATTATAGGCCCATCTACTTTAGTATCTAGGCTGAGAAAATGTAGTTGGTTACTCCAGCAAAATGCTAAATTACAGACACCCAAGAGGCCTGAACAAGTTGAAACAACTTTATTAAAAGGTCAACCTACTTGGCACGTCTTGAATTCAGACATGATAGTAAGAGTAGACGGGGTACAAGACAGCAAAAGTCATAGATATCCCCACAGAGGAATATTGGGAAATATATATATATAAAATGCCCTGCACATCACAAACTGTTATGTGGATATCAGTTTGTAGGTGTTCACCAGTCAGAGCCACTACATTGTCAAGTAGGGACATTTGCTTCCTCTTTGTAGGGAAACAGTGAATTATTGTCACTGGGCAGAGAGTAACTCAGGATGTAATAGGGGACTCTGGGGACGATTCTATGGGAGTTTGAGCAAACCAGAGACATACACAACCAAGACAAACCCTGCTTCTAAACCTCTGGTTTCTACAACTTTCCTAGCAAAGCTGTTCCTCCTTTGTAGCTCTTCTCTGTAGGGCACTTCTGTTGGAACATCTAGAGCCCGTGTTGGGGGGGGGGGGATGGAGAAAAGTCAGGAAAGGGGCACAGTGCCTGTTGGGGCTCCTCATGATCCTGTCACAACCATGAACTTGCACGCTGTGAGAACTAATCCTCTCTCCATTTTTGGGAGGGAGGCAAGGTGAAGAGGCTAGATTTGGAGTAGGCAGAACTCCATCTCAATCATGCCATTTTGGACCAGACCCTTGAAGTCAGTTTCCTTATTCATGTTACAGATTAGGAATCATGGGACTGGTACATGGTAGTAATCAAGTGACTGGTACATGGTAGTAATCAATAAACAGGATACGACTGGCAATATCGAGTGCAAGACCTAGAGTCAGCAAGGTCCATTTCTATCTTTCCAAGATTCTACTCTGCCCACAAAACTGCCTGCTCTGATTGGAGCTAGCTCTGCTGGTCCTTCTTCACTTCACAGCCAGTTCCATTGTCTCAGGACATGTGGATAAAGTAACTGGTGGAAATAGGTGCCAAGTGTTGGCACCCATTCAGTAGCACCCAGTTGTGGTCCTGATTCCCTTTCATCTCCCCTTTTCCAGGCCATTCCCAGCAGCAACCAAGGTTTCTGGGCCCACAGTACCCCCTGATGGCTAAGGAGGAGAACTTTCTTTTCCCAAAGAAAAATTTCCCACCTCTCTTCGTGAGACACCCTTTTCCACAGATCACTGCCCTGTTCATTCCATTATGAACCATTCATTTCTTACAAACTTTGTGTAGCCTTCCTGCCTTGCTTATTTTTTTTAAAGAAATTCCTGCTCAGTTATTTCAGGAATATCTATTTCTCTCTCCTGCCCCCTCCCACTTTGTTCCATTTATGAGTCCTCAAATTACTGCAATTATAGTAATCCTATATAGTAGGATGCATCTGTCTACCTGTCAAGAAAAACTCCACACATTTAGAAGTAAGATCTAGTATAAAGCCAGCAGCATCAATCTCTGAAGCCCTTTGAGACATCCAACTGTCTTTTTCAGAACCTGCTTAAGAGTCATCTACCCCCACTCCCATCTTTCTCCAAGCAATATTGACCTTTCCTTGACATTGTTTTCCTATTCATTTAATTGATTAAATTGTACTGGTTTGTCCCCAAGTGTTTCATTGCAAATGTAATTCAGCTACAGAAAGGGTTAAATACATTCCTGTGGGCTATTCTAGAAACCAAAGCCCAATCTTTCAGCATTAGTTTTCTCTGGGAAAGTGAATTCAAAGTTCCAAACAAGTGCTTTAGAATGAACCTTGGAAATTTTTACTTATTGTGATTTAACACCAGAAAATCTTGGTTAGGAGTGGTCAGTTTTTAAAAACTCATACTAATGCCTGGATTTTCTAGTTTTTATCTATTGAATCATGGCATTACAGGGATTGGGGGTATAGAAGGTGTTTGTTCAGGTGTAACTTATCTGGGCAGACATTGATTCTCCATTTATCAAAGGAAAACTACACCAACTAGATCCTGACTTGATGTGCTAAGAAATGTCCTAGGTGGGTTATTAAAATCGTTTCCATGACTATAGATTGTTTCTTGGTGAAAACAAACTGAATGTGTCAAAAAATAAACACCTGTTTTCCTGAATGTAAATTCAATTGATGTCAAGGATGCTTTTACTTGTCAAGGTCTGAATTTTAAATATTTTAAAAAATTAAAAGGATTTTGGCATGAATGATTAAAATGGCATTAATTTCACACTTAACTGATCAATTTTTCTGATTTAGGAAGTTTTTTTCTTAAACTTAGGGTCCATAACTAGGAGGCATCTCAAGCCTGATAAAACAACTAATTAAAGAATTTCTGTCATAAAGTAACATTAAGCAGCTTAATTTTTCCATTATCAATCCTTAAATTTAAAAGAAAAAAGCTTATAAAACTTGGTTATGAAATAACTGAATTATTTAATGAAACAGCAAATAAGCTATCATGACCATATATAGACAGGCATGAAAAATATAATTTAAAAATGCTTTTATGGAAGACTTTCTTAGTTTGGTCATAATTCAAGGTAATTCTTGCACAGATTTTTTAAAAATGATTTCCATATTCATAGAACTGAAATACTTTTTCTCCTTAGCACAAAAGATATAAATTAACAAGTAAACACCACCCAATGGATTTCATTAAAATTCTGATAAAATGGACATTCTACATAAGTTCTGAATGCATACTAGGATACCAACAAAATACACAGAGAATGATGTTATAAAACAATTGAGCAGTGCACAAGGGATTTTAAATGACTGGTCATCAAAGGGTTATTTGAGCTGACATATTCACATTTTTCTGGAAAGTGATTAGCTTTCTGATAATACATATCATTTGAATTCATAAAGGTTTGGTGGTAAAAATTAAAATATTCAGTGTTAATGTTTTTGAACACATTACATTTAAAGTATTTTCTTAGAACCCAAAGAGAAAACACAGAGGAAACGTAACCAGACTGAATTGTTTAAAATGTATTTTTCCTTTAATTAAATAAGAAACATCTGTCTAGGGATTTTGGAAATGAATGTAATCCATCCACACTCTGCCTGTACTAGTTTGCATCCAATGTCCAATATTTTGAAAGAAAATTCTTTCTTTCTGTAAAGAATTAAACAGCAACATGGAGTGATGTCTGGGTCTGCTGCAGCTAAGTCAGCTAAGTCTTGCCTCTGGAGTTTGGAACTCGGCTAAGAATCTGTCTTTTCCCAGGTTGGTCCTTGGGAAGCAACCACATTCTGTCCATGGTCAAGGTTAAGATGTAACTTTTGTATTTTCCAAAACATCCACTCACCCTAAAAATGCTCACCTCTGGACAGCAAGGGGAAAAAGGAAAAAGAAATTACCTGGATGCATCTAAACACTCAGGGTCAGATAACATTCCTTCTCTAGGGTTCACTAAACATTTTTACTCAGGGTTGAAGACTTATTTCTCTAACCTGCACCGCCCACAATACCTAAAAGTTGAACAGGACTATGAATACAAAGAAAGTCGGAAGTTGACTCCAGGATTGCTCTGGCTCTTTCAAACCAGGGCCCAGAGTCCAGAATGACAAATAGCACTTACTGGTGGTGTCAAACGGTATCTGCTTGCACTGTGCAGATCCTTCCACCGGCCAAGGGCAGTAATAGACGGCTCCCCCTTCCACGATGTCCGGCTGGCTGGTATTGGCTTTGGGTGCCCCCACCAAGACACTTGCTCTGAGAAAGGATTGGAAAAGGTCACCTGGTGGCAATCATAAAACTGTGCGCACGCGTTGCACTCAGGAGGTGCATGTCTACTGAGGCTGGAGTAGGGGTGGAGGGCAGAAGCATATTTATGATGGAGAGAGTGTTAAGGTTGATTTCCTCTTGGAAAGAAATGGGCGTCAGAAACCTGGTTTGGAAGAGGGTGCGAGTGGTCCTAATTCTTCTCTAGGTGGAGCTATGTAGATACAGTGAGATGAGAGTCCATGGGGAGAAAGTAGAGGACAAGAGCCCAGGTGCTTGCAGCCAACCAGCAGCACTTGCACCATATTGGGTTTTTGTTTTAACTGTTTTAACTGGCTCAGTTCGGTCCCGTTCTCTCCTTTATGGGATGCATGAGTGGAGTTTGAACCGGGAGTTCTTTGCAGTGGCATTTCTCTAGTTCAAAGTTCACAAGGCACATCTAGCGCGCAAAGGGAAAGAAGGGGCTCATGGCCAGCCGAAAACGGGACGGAAGCCCTGGTGAGCAGACGGGTGGGACCTCAGACACTGCCTTTCCAAGCTCGGGAGACCTACCAGGGGCTAACAGCAGAGGGGCCGGGACCCGACCTGTGAGCGGGTTGGCGCACGCGTGCCACCTCCCCCAGGAGAGCGACTTACGTGCGGGCATCAGGTATGTGGAAGTCCACTGCGTAGCCGAAGTAGCTGCCCTTTGGGCCGCTGTACACGGTGAGTTTGTCCACGTCCAAGTTGAAAGCCTGTGAGGCAGGGGACCACAGCATCCCCAACCCGACCGAGAAACACCAGAGGGGGGCGAAATGCTGCGCCCGGTTCCTCCGGCGGGCCCCAGCAGACATCGCCGTCTTCCTGATGCTGCTCACTGGGGAGCGGGAGCCAAGGACTCCGGTGGGACAAATGGCAGGGTGGCGCCTGGAGTTCCCTTGATGCTCGCGTCCCGGGTCGGTAGGAGCGGCGCGTCTGCAGTGACAGTCCCCGCGTCTAGTCCCGCCTGCCTGCCCGGCGGCTAGGGGTTTGGCGGAGGGGATCGGGCGCTAGCCCTCCTTCAGCAGCGGGCGGGGCTGGCGCGCTCGCGGCGCCTCCTAGCGGCGGGTTCTCCGGCTGCGAACAGGAGCCCGCGACCCCGAGGCTTCCCTAATAGGCTGGCGGTGGACGTCTGGCGCTGGTTGGGGCTGCCGGCTTTCTATTGCAGTTGCATTGCGAGGACTATGTGAGTCTCCCTTATGCCACCGCCGGCCATTGTTTTAATTTCTCAAGTGGGAGACAGTTTGTGCCAGTTTCTTCCCATTGCACCGCTTGGATGGAAGGGTGGGAAGGGCGGAGTAAAACTGGTATCTTCGCATCTATCTTTTCTATAGCCTGAGGACACTCAGGGTTCCACGCGTTTGTTCATCTGTGACTGGGAGTTTAAAGTTGAAATGCAACAATCCCCACCTCCCTTAACTCCTCCCTACTTAAGAGGCAGCTAATAAAGAAAGTGTTGGGGATTTTACTTAGGTCTTTCTCAAAGGCATCTTTTACTACTCAAAGGTAGTAAAATGACTTGGTAGTAAATCTCCATCCTGTGTGATTGTGATGTGGCAAAGTTAGGGATGTTGCCATGTACCGTTTATCCAAAGCAGGAGTAAAAGGTGTGGATTAGAATCAGAAGGGTTAAACTTCAGTTCCCATGCACAGCTATTAATTGTTGATCTCTTTCTATGCCCCTTGTGCAAGGAGGACTCAGGAACCAGGAGGTGAAGAAGGGAGGAGAAGGGAATTGAAGTATAGATGCTCTTACTTAGCACATGGAGCTTCCAGGATCACAGGACTAATGCTTATACAGTATAGGGCAGAGGGTAAATAGCAAGGAGAGTAGAGTCAGAAGAGGTAAGTAGTTTCTGAGGTATTTTGAACAAATTTGGGGACAGATGTAGACTTAGGCAAGCATTAGATTTGTGTATTGTAGGAGGGAAAGTCGCAGGGACATTATTAAAGAAAAAAAAAGGCTTAGATTAAAGGGTTGTGCACAAGACTAGTACAAAAGGAGTGGGCTAGGGATTGGCGGGAAATAGGGCTGGACGGATCTCCTGATCTTCATAACAAGAACTTGTGTTAACAAAAGGATCCAGTTTTAGAGCAGAGACAGGGCTTGCACACAGGGATTCAAAAAGTTAGAGGCAAGGGTGTGTATATGCATGGTTACTGAAAGGAAGAGAAAGCGAAGAAGCTTATTCCCAGAGATGCATGGGGGGAAAGAAGTGCCCTACTTGGGTAGGAGAAGTAAGAGAGTGGAAGGTCAAATATTAGGGAAAGAGAAAGGGTCAGAGAAGAGATTGCAGGAGGAAAGGGTCCAAGGTGAATCTGACAGTATCCATTTAGACGAGAAGAACCACAGATGGTATTAGCAGGTGGAGGTGAAGAAGGTACAAGAAATAGGTGGTGAATTAGATGCTGGACCTGTTGAATGAGTTACTAGCCTGGGATTAGTTTGCATTAGTTGTAGTCTGGAGAGCTGTCAGATTCAGACTTGGGAGACTATCTGGAGGAAAATCTCTGAGCCCACTGAAAAATCAGATATTCTTATCTCCCTCCCATCAGAACCTGCTTGATAGACTGATGTGAATATCATGTCTTTGTCTCTATCATCAGAACCCACTTGGTAGACTGATATGAATTTCTTATTTTTATTTGTCTCTGTAAAATGCTAAAAATAAATAGTATGTATTGACAAATTGTCACATCTGGATCATTTCCTAACTGGATAGTCATTTCCCAGATAAGGGCTTAAGAATAGATGATAAAAGACTTTTCTTTCCCTGTCATTCAAAAGTCCTTTTGTGTTGGACACAGAATCTGCTACTCTGGTCAAAATACTATTGTTAATGAATATGTTATTCCCCATAGCAAATTTCAATGAGTAGTTCACATGCACCACACGCATAAGGCTAGGGAATAACCTCAACTTGGTCATTCTTGACATTATTATGCTAAAATTTGGAAATTTATCATGTTACAGGCAAACTTTAGGTTATGTGTAACATCTATATAGGTAAAAATTATAGCAGGGCCCTAGAGGTACACCTGACCCATGTACTTTATTAGAGGGAGAATGAGCTGTGTATTACACAATGCTTTGGTTTACGTGGGGTAGCACATCATCAGAGCATCCTCTATTGCACATATTTCATACTTTACTGGAATATTTCTTTTCTTTTTAGGGGGGAGAGTGTACCAGGGATTGAACTCAGGGGCATGCAACTACTGAACCACATCCCCAGCCCTATTTTTTATTTTATTTAGAGACAGGGTCTCTCTGAGTTGCTCAGCACCTCGCTTTTACAAAGGCTGGCTCTGAACTAGTGATCCTTCTATCTTAGCCTCCTGAGTCACTTGGGTTATTGGCATGTGCACCCAACTGACATATTTCTTAATTTGTATTTTTTTTATTAAACTTTTTGTCTAAGATGAATAGGTAAGGAAAATATTCTCCTTCTTGTCATATAATTGAATATATTCTTGCTCGTTTCTTCTAAAACACACTTGCTCTTGAATTACAGAAGTCTATATTTTTAATATTGCCACTTTCTACTTTACAGATGAGGACACAAATTAAGGTTTAGGAAGTACAATAATAGCATGTTTACAAAGGAAGTAAGTGATATGATTTGAATCCAGGCCTATCAGATGCCAAAACCAAGTCCTTATGCCATTAGGTCTCTATATAATAATGTGTGTAAAGTTACAATCATAACAAAAAGTCACCTTTCTAAGGCAGTAAGGTATTTGGGACTTACCCTTTAAGCATGCCTGGGTATTGCTTGTGAGATAAAATAAAACAGTCCTGTGTTTTTCTAAGTGATCTTGGAAAAAGGTTTGGTGGCACCTTGGTTTTAAGAGAGTTGAGGGAAAGTAAACTAACTTGAAGCTCTTTGACCTTCCTGGGAGGCCAGAAGTCTGGGAGAGTAGTAAATCTTCCAAGAAGTCAGAAAAATAAAATTAAAAAAGCATCTGCAGTAATTTCAGGGACAGAAGAGTTTGAATAGGTGTCTTGTACTTTTCAGCATTCTGACAGTTGGGAACCATGCCAATCATTAAGATCTGAGATGTTGTCAAAGAAACACATGGAGAGCAACAGGTCTCAGGCTGAATGAGAAGTTTGACATTTCAAAGATGTACTGGCACTGATTTATTTGTCAGAAAAGCAAGTCTGGGAATTGTTTATCATGCATGTGAATATGTGTGTATGTTTAATACTGGGAAAGGTATACATAGTTGTTTCCCTAAAAAGAAAAGAAAAGAACCCAAAGGTCAAAGTTGGAACAGATTTGGCCAAAACATTCCAAAAATAAACAAGTTAAGAGAACCAGAGGAAAAAAAAATGATCTTAGACTTGTAGCCATATATGAAGTGCTTCAAAATAGAGATGCTGCAGTATTTAAGCAGTTAGAACAAACATTCAAAACTTAACAACCAACTCTAATTTCTGATTCTGCTTCTCTATTTTGTTATGTGATGTGTTCACACCTTAAAATCAAGAGGTATGAGAGTTCTGACATAATTATTTCATTAATACAACCACACTGTCGATATGTTAGCTAAACCACTTAAAAAATAAGCCAAATGTGAAAGCAATGTGTTCTTGAAGATTCCATCAGCTTTAAAAATAAATATACTGGACCGATAAAAAATATGGAAAAAATAAAATAAATGCTCCAGAAAGGGAAAATAGTTTTCCAACCTCTTATAATTTGGGTCATTGAGGTGATTTTGAATTTTACTTTTTCCCAGCTGTACTTAACTTTCCTGCAATTTTAGAAACAACTGATGAATGGAAACTGATGAGTTAAACCTACTGAGGAAAAACAACTTTTATATCTGTCAAGTATCTCTGCTGACATAAGCTTATGTCTGCAAATTTTTCTATTCTGGTCTCTAGAGGGTGATTTTCATCACAGTCAAATCATTTTTTCTCTTTTTTGATGATTTTGTTTGTAATTCTCTTTTATGATTTTTCTTCATAATTTTATTAGCCACTATTAAGTTTAAAGTGCTGCAGTGATAGCCCCCATACTGGCAGAGATTCAAGCACAACCAACAGGTTTGGCTGAAGGAAAATTCCCACTAGTCAGAACCAGATTTGGATTTCTTTTAAAATAAAAACTTTTAAAAACAACATTGTTTTAAAGCAAAATAAAAATTGATAAAACAAGGCTTTCTCTAAAAGGAAGGTTAAAGATATGAATGTTCTTTCCAATCATTGAAATGAGGGGCTAAATTTTTCTGAGAGGTCAAGTCCTGGGGTGTGGGCATTGGAACCCTATAGTCAGGATCTTGATTGATTTACAAGTTTCAACTAAGACCAGTTCATTCCAGAATCCTGCAAATCTTACAGGTCTGATGGCTTAGTAGGAGGGAACTTTTGCTAGCTATTGGCCAAAATGACTAAAGGAAACTTGTGGGGAGACAGGGATCTAACAGCCTTTTAGTCTTATAAATTTGGAGTCTGGAGAATGGGAAATCTAGTTTCCCCATGGGCTTGTTTTTGAGTCCAATGCAAAAAGAAAGTGTAGGGATGTATTTAAGAGGCTTTAAAAAAATCTAAATCTCCTTAGCCTGCTAAGGTTGAGAGGTCGGAGTACCACTCTAGAATAAGGGCATTTAAAATGGAAATCAAGGCTTTCTTTCCTCCCCTGCCTACTCCAGACCATCTCCATTCAGCTCTTGGGGGAGGCTCCAAGACTCAGGCAGGACACCAAAGAAGTTCTCCTACAAATAGGTTGAGAAGCCATGGAGGAAGTCCCCCAATCCTGGAGGGGTGAAAGATGGAGTATCTGTATGTTGACATGCCTGTGCTTGAAGCCCAAGGTTAGGCTGCTCTGTTTATCCATCATCAGGAAGCACCATAGGGGTGTCTGGGGCTGCCCTCTAGTGTCTGTGATCTTATTTGAGTGCATGGGATTTTCCATGGGAAATAGAAATCTTCCTTGTGAAAAATGACAGCATCAAAATAATTTAGATGACCTTCACAAATGGAATTTTGAAATACTTTCATTAAAATGAAAGGTGATCTTTCCCACATTCATTTTTTATTTCCTTGTTACAGTTTTGCAAATCATTATGTGGCGGGGGGTGGGGGGGGGAAGAAGAAAAGAGAGAGAAGCTAGAAGGGAGGAAGGAAGGATGGGAGGGACGGGGGAGGAAGTAGCCCATAAAAACACTACTTAATATTTTCCCAATTAATGGCAACATCCAAATTGGATTTCTGTGTCATCCTTGCAAAATTTATGACTTACTCAGCCTCACTTGCCTTCCTGATTTTGTAGATTTATCTATTCATTGTTTGTATCCTTTCAACAAATATGAGTACCAAGTATACACTAGGCACTCTG